TAATAAAAGATAGAAGTAAATGTTTTATTTCATTAGAATCAACAGATCATTAACTACAAACAAACTTATTTAGTTTTATTAATTGAATTTTTTTCCTATTCAATTGCAAAATTAGATTAGAAAAAAAAAATACGTTCGTATTTAGCAGTTTTTATTGCCATAGATCAGTTATAAACCAAAATAGATAGCATATTCGGAATCAGCATTGAATCATATAGTTTTTCTATTTTCATAAAGTTTGAGAAAGCAATAGAATTGAAATTTGATATTTCTGGATCCGGGACTCGGTCGAAACAATATTATCAGACTCGAATCTAGGTAGGACCCGGTGAACTCTAGTCGTAGGATAATATGAGCCATAGATGTTCATCGCTGCTAAGAATTTGCCATTGCCGCGACGCCATGAATATCTCTGATATGAGTCAATAATTGAAAATAATATTAACTGTAATTTATTTGATAGAAACAATACTTTACGAAATGAAAAAAACAAACAAACATCTTTTTTGTTTATATTCGAACTATTTTTGACTTGATTAATTTATTTCTAAAGTGGTGAAAAAAAGTTTAGAAACAAAGATTTTTTTTAGTTTTCTTCATAATGTTAAGCACATAGCTCCGATCCAAATAGTAATTTTAATAACCAATGAAATTTTCTATCCAATACACTTTATAGTAGGATTTCATAGATGAATAATGATGGCAAGGCTCCTAAAAAACCGAATACGGTATTTTTCAGGTTCTAGAAGACTTTGTCAGAGCTATTTTTGAACGGTGCCATCTTAGAGAGCACAAAATTCTGAGTAAAATGAGGGGTTGCCGAGTTTTCTACGACCCTTTTCATAACAAGTTACAAAAATCGACTAAAAACGCCTATTTCATGATTTTTGTGAGGCTTGTAACTTTTTACAAGAAGTTCGTAGAAAACTCAGCAACCCCTCATTTTACTCAAAATTTTGTGCTCTTTAATATAGCATAGTTCAAAAATAGATCTGACAAAGTTTTCTAGGACCTGAAAAATACCGTGTTCGGTTTTTTAGGAGCCTTGTCATCATTATTCATCTATGAAATCTTACTATAAAGTGTATTGGATAGAAAACTCCATTGGCTATTAAAATCACTATTTGGATTGGAGCTATGTGCTTAACATTATGAAAAAAACCAAAAATTTCGTTGTTTCTAAACGTTTTCTTTTTCACTACTTTAGTTTACTAGATTTATAATTTTGTTCATAATATATATGTTAGTATGATATTTAATATAGGTATCGAGCTCCTGAATGTTTGCTAACAGATGGATATTATCGACATGAAATGGATATATGGTCTGCTGGTAAATTGATAATAATTTTTTTCTTTTTTTTGTATTTTCAGAAAGTATAATTATTCTTTCATAGGTTGTGTTATGTTTGAGATCATTACACTTCGACCATTATTTCCAGGGAGTAATGAACTTGATCAAATAAATAAAATTCATGATGTGATAGGTACACCAACATCTACTACACTTGATAAATTTCAACAGTAAGTTTGTTTGTTTTTTTTCTATTATTGTATTTTTATGAACAAATATTTTCTAATATTCAATATGATTCTTTATCATTTTGCTTTAGTACTGTAAAAGAAAAAATATGAGTTTTAAATATAATTTTTTTTTGTTTATCTCAAGCTAGAATAATAGTCACTGTTCAGGTCAAGAAATTAGAGCCGGAAAACTCAAGAAAATGATAGGAAGTTGCAAGCAAAAATTCGTTGGACAGTTTAAATCAATTACAATCGGAAGTAGGAAAATCCGGCTATCGAATTTCTGCTTTTAAGCTCTTATCATTCTTCTGAGTTTTCTCCGTCGGAAATTCTCGGATCCGGACGCTGAAATCATTGACATGGATATAGTTAGAAGACTTGATCAAGGTCGATTAAAAAATTTGTCTTTACAAATAATAATATTTTTTGTTGATTTATATATACTGAGAAGAATACATAGGTAAAAAATTATTTCTATTATTTTTAGTCGAAATTCAGCTGTTGATTTTAATTTTCCTCCTCGACGTGGTACGGGTATTGCTCGTCATCTTACTCATTGTTCAGCAGATACCATTGATTTAATTAATCATTTATGTATTTATGATCCAGATCATCGTATGTCAGCTATGCAAGCACTTCAACATCCTTATTTTGATCATATTCGGTAAATTTATAAAAACAAAACAAAACAAAACTAACTGAAAATAGAAAAAAAATATTTTAATTTTAATAAATAGAAATCAAGAAAATGAACAAATGCAACAACAAGGTATAAATCAATGGGAAAATGGTGCTCGAATAGTAAAAACCAGTGAAGATCAATATCAACGTTCTAATTCAAGTAGTAGTAAATCAAGTATTAATGAAGAAAATTCATCACCACCACCACCACTACCACAACCAGGACTTAATGCTCATAATCCTTCTACTATGTATCATAATCCAGTAATCAAACCTGATTTGAATAGAGTATTTTATTTAATTGATTAAATTAAATTTGAATATCGTTGTTTTTTTTTTTGATCTATAGCTTATTTATCCACCAGCAAAAGCTCAATCATTAATAGATACACGACTTCAAGGACAATCAATAAAAAAATCATCTACATTACATTCTAATAATATAAAAACTAAACATAATTTTTCACAACATAATCAAACACAATCTTTTTATAGTAGTTTATCAACAATAGGAACAAATGTTTTAAATTATCAAACACGAAAACATCGACAAACAACAAAAAATAGTCCAAAACCATTTCTACCTCCTGTATCAGGTGCTTCAGCATTTTCACATTATCCTACCAATAATCGTCATATTCCAACAATAATTAACAAAGTAAAGAATATTATCTAATAAATCTTCGCAGCGACTATCATATTCAGACTAAAATATTTTCGTTGAAATTAAAGAGGGACGGTTCGTTTTGAATCCAATGCAAAGTTCATCGGATACAGATTCGAACAGGATCCAATGGATTCTAATTCAAAATCAAAATTTTAATCTTCAGTCATTATGACGATTTTTGTTAATGAAATATCATAATCATATTTGGATAAACTTTTAAACTGAAATTTTGCATAAATAAAGTTCTTTTCCTATTAGATCTGATTAAAATATTCAATTAAAGTATAAATTTTGTAAGAATAAAACGTTTAGTACAAAGTGTAACAAAACTATTATATTTTCCTCGATAACTTAAAATATATTAAATGAATTTTATACCAAATATAATGCTCATCAAAAACTGGATTTATGAATGTAATTGGAGCAACTTTGTGTCTATGAAATTATTGAAATGTTTTAAATTACATGCTAAAATACACTCGCACTTTATGATTCTTATTCTTTATGCACATATTTTCACACAAAAAATCATAGTAGATTTGTAATCTCCATCAAAAACTGAATCTATAGACATGTCATTTGTATATTTTTGATGAAAGAAAAATTCTGAAAGAATTACCGTAGCTAAAAAATTTTTTTTTGAACTGGCTCCATGAGAAAAAGATTCGATGCTCTCATAACTGCTGAAGGAGGTCCTACTAATTTCTGAAATTTTTTTTTTAATATTTGTCAGAAGTTTATATTTCTAATAAATTAGAAACTCTATCATTTACAATTTAAGCTGGTGAGAGAGTATGATAGTTCTTTTATACACTCGATATTATAAAATCTATGATATTTTTATGCCCAAACGGGCTGATATATTTCAGTTTTTATTATAAAAATAATATCAAATTCGTGCTCTCCGACAAAAACTGTATCCACTGATGTATAAATCGAGATATTTCAATTGAAGAAAATTTCTTGTCTAGGGCATCACTCCCAAGGTTTTCATCACAAAAAAAAACAAATAATTTGTCTATATTCAGCTTTTCATGGAGATTACCAATCTGCTATTTTTTTTTAATGAAAATATGTATATGAAGAATGAATATCATAAACTATGAGTACATTTTAGCATGTCATTCAAGATATTTCAATAATTTCATAGGTCCTATATCGTAAAGACCGGACAGTTTTTAATGGTAAACTAGCGGTTTTTCGGAGCATTTTTATGACATGCGAAGGTACAAGAAAAAAAAACATTTAAAATAGAAAAATCGATGATTTGGAGCAACTAAATGTTAATGATCATTGACGAACTGGTTCATTTTAGCGGTAAATTATAGCGACGGGAGACGGTAACCGGACCGGTTAAACCACCGATTTTCTTCCGGTTTTTATCACATGGGGTAATAATTGCTCTAATTACACTCATAAATCCAGTTTTTGATAAGTATTAATTTGGTATACAATTCATTTATATGCTTTAAGTTCTCGAGTGAGACATAATAGTTTTGTTACATCCTATATAAATTTTCGGTTGAATTAGAATGAGTTTTGTTTTTATTTTTATTTCTATTTTAGGACCATAATCAAGGAAAACAAGTTCTTGGTTATTATCCAATAATGTCCTATCGATCCTATAAGAAGTGAATATGAAATAATATTTATACATTAGGTTTTTATCATATTACTGATAATTGTATCAACTATTGTATATTAACAATTGATAAAAATTTTTTTCTTTTTCTTTTTTCTTTTTATCTTACTTCTTGTTATTTGCTCTATTTGATTACATATATATATATATATATATAAAGAAGAATTTAGAAGAACAAAAAAAAAAAAATCGATATCATCTAAGCAAATTTGTTTATATGATTATTTGCTAAATAAATCAAATTTTTTGATTAAATTGTTCAGATCAATTATTGTTTTTTTTTTTTGTATGACAGTAAAAGAAAAAAAAAAAGAAAAGAAAGTGATATTCAGAATAAAATAAAGCTACATATAAGAAAAAAAAAAAGAAAAATATGCACATGAGATATAATAATCATGTCACTGTTCAATAGATGATAGTATAATCGACTAGACATATTTATATGTTTAGTTCGATATTGAGATTTGAAAAAAAAAAACATTTCGTTTTATGATGATTTAAAATTTGAAAAATCAATACGAAGAGGAAGTGAAGGTGCTTGTGATGATGTATTCATAGATAAATTATAATGTTTTGATATATAATTTGATTCTTTTTCATCTTTTTGTTGTTGTTTAAATTGTTGTTGTCGACGTATAGCATTTTCAAGTTTTGTTCGAAGATCAGGTGAAGTTTGAAGAATAATACGAAATTCATTTGAATATATTGGAATTAAATATTGTATACGTTCAATTATATATGATATTAAACGTAGATTTTGTTGATTAAATTTTTGTGCAGATACTGTGGAATCAGGAAGAAAATTTATAAATAATGGAATGATTAATGATGCTAAACGAATACCTAGAAGAAAAATAAGAATAATTAGAACTCTTCATCTTATTCAAACCACTCGAAAACCAACGGCTAACCGCAATTCTCCAGTTGAATTTTTTTTCGTGTCGCAATGCATCAATTTTTTTTACTCTTACAAAATTGACAAAGTTCGGTCAAAATCACACCATCTCTATATTGTCGATGCGCTGAAGCCGCCTGTACCAGTTACATCACTCATATTCGTATAGTTTTCGAGTTTGAGTTTTTATTAAAGATGACGGCATAAAAATAGTCATTCTTTGTGTCGATATTGATATCACCTCCAGCTGATCTTCTTTTACTCTTTCCTCTGTATCTTATCTCTAGTGTCTTTTCTTATGTTCAGCTTTCTCTAGTCGAAAATTTCTTAGAAAGTCCTTCAAAAAAAATCTCCGAGGATTCTCAAGAGGAAGTCCTCTGGGAATTTCTAAGGGAGTTTATCGAAAATCCCCTAGGGATTCTTCAGGAAACGGCTCTATAAGCGACTCCGTAGTTCCTCATAAAGGACAGTTTCCTAAGGAATACACAAGCCAATGCATCACATTTATCAGTGATATTATCACCGAACAACATGCCTACCTATCTAACTACTTATCTATCTATCTATGTTACAACATATTTGTCATGGACTCGAAAGCAACGAAAAAGTATTCCTTCAAGAGTTCCTAGAGTGTGACTCCGCAGAAAGTACGCTTTTTTTTCTCCCCACTGCATAAAATGTGGAGATTCTTTGAAATATCTCCAGGGAATCCTTTGGTTTTAGGGACGCTCCGTGAATTTTTGAGGAATTCTCTGGTGACCCACCGGGGATTTCTCTAGGAAGAATGGACTAGGATTCCCTTTCTCTTCTTCTCCTCTCCTATATAAGCGTGTGATATATGTGAAGTAGTCACACTTTGAAGATATGAAATAGCTAATAAACATCATTATCGAGAGTGGCGATAAGCTACTCCCTCCAGTTTGTCATTACAGACTTGATCAATGGGAAAATATAAATATTAATTTAGTAATAAAATAATATAAGACACGATAAACGAAGGAAAACCGAGTTCAACCGTCGGTTTTGATAAAAAATTGACGACATGAGTCGTCAGGTCAAATTTAGAACTGATTCCCATGTCGTCTCTTTTTTAATAACTACGTCACAGCTACGCGTAATTGCAGTGCATCGGTTATAATCAAATCTCTGTCACAAACTACGACTACTGCACCGCATTACTCGCATCGTACGATTCACTGTATAGGATACTAACTAATCAAATGTATCCCTTCTTACTTGTAATTGATCACATTCTAGTACCAAAACTTAGCCACAAAGAGATCGTATAAAAGGAAGTCTTCGTGCGAGTGCGATTCATTTTTTATTCTTCTCCAATCAATAGATTATGCAGTTTGAATCCATGGCTTTTTGACAATGCAAACAGAGACTAGGAGATTTTCAAGACTCGTGAAATAACTTATCACAATTAATAGGTTTCTCTTTCAATTTATTGTTATTATGAAAGAAATATAAATTGAACATCTCTTCTCTCATCACTACTTTCTTCATTTTGTAACTCTATTTTCAAAAAAAAAACTAAAATCTAACATACGTAATGTTGAATCAACAATCGTTAAAAGTGTTTCAAAACATTTTAAAATTTCAATAATATATTCTTGTTGTTGATCTTCATTATATTTTTTTAATTCATTTAATAATATTGGTGTAAATATTTGTATAAATTGATTACGTATTGGAATATTTGTACATTGAAATAATTGATTAATACATTGATATATACGAATATGAGTCTAAATTATTAGAAGAAAAAAAAACAAGAAACAATTTTTAGAATTTATTAAATAACTTTCATTTTTTTTTACTTCAGTTTTTTCATCATTTAATGCTGTTCGATAAAAGTCTATACATTCATCTGTTAAATCAATTGATGTTGAATTAATAATTAATGATGTTAGACATTGAACAAAATGTCCATTATCAGAAAAACCTTTATTTATCACTAGAATGCAAAAAAAAAATTATATACATATACTACTGGCTACAAGTGTTTCCCCTCTTGGATCTCAGTACCTAGAAGACATAGATCTAAAAATTTCCCTATATATACTATCAATTTCAATGAATAGTGCACTCCGCTGTAAGTTGAATAACTTCGGCTAGGAATCTGTGGTTTTCAGTTTAGGAAAGAGCGGCATCAACTTTATATGGGAATATGAAAAAACGACATCATACCGAGCCTCAGGTTGTCTACGTGTGAAATTTTAGCAATTTAGCTAAGCGATGAAAATCCGTTTGGCATTGGATTTTTTGACGTAGGTTTGGTAAGGCAGACGATTGTGTACTATTTGCCACCAACCCTAGATTTCTAACTTTTACTGTTAGAGAGTTATGGCCGTTTTACTGGATTTTGGATCTGTGGCAACAGATTTCGGAAAAAATCAAATTCAAGAATTCCGATCTGAAATTTTGCGCATAGAATAGGTCTACTAGTCATTAGAATCGTCTGAAAGTTTCAGCCAGAACGAATGTTTCTCTCTCTCTCTCTCTCGAGATATTGAATTTTCAAGAAATAATCACTTTTCACAGACAGCTCACACAAATGGAATTTATTTGAAAATCACAGATAGGCGCGACCCTGAGACTCGGTGTGACAGTGTTTTTTTTCATATTTCCATATAAAGTTGATGCGACTCTTTCCAAAACTGAAAACTGCAGATCTCTAGCTGCTTTCTAGCCAGAGTCATTCAACTTGCAACGAAGTGTACTGTTCATTGAAATGGATATTAGTTATCAATGAACATAGGTCAGCAGCTATAATAGCATGAAGTGCAATAGAATAATAATACATGCGGTCTGTCTTCATAACTAAAGAAGAAAAAATACTCAATGAGTCAAGAGTTTTCTCATTTTTTAACCCTATACTCTCGGTATATATAAGTTATAGAAAATGCTTCTCTACAATTGTCCATTGTTTTTCTAATATATGTAAGATCCAAGGAGGGGAAGGATATTTTTATGTTCTCTTACGATTTGTTCTTAAATTAATAATTGTAATTATTGTACAACGTAAAATATCTTTATCAATTGTTGTTGAAAAAATATTTTCAATAAATTGAATTATTGTTGATAATAATTGTTTTTGATCATCAGTTTTTGTTGAAAGAAGTACAAAACTTGTTGATAATAATAAATGAAGAATAACTGGTATTAATGCTTGAAGACCTAAATTTTAATAATGATTATTTTTATTTTTAATTAATAATTTGAAAAAATATTTACTTTCATTTGTTGTACATAATGTAATAAGTTCACTAAGAAGTTTAATATTTAATAAAATTAATTCATGAATTTTTTGATTATCTGAATTTGTTTTCATAGATAATTTCATTTGAAAAATTGGACCTAATTGTAAATCACTAGCTATATTTGGATAATAACTTAATAGAACACAAACAAGTAATTCTAATGATGCAAATAAAAATGATTCGCCTGGTACAAGATGATCTTCATTAACATTTGTTGTTATTTGTGAAAATGATGGTACAATATGAAAAATTTTATCAACAATTTTTAATATATGTAAATGAGTTTTTAAATCAGTACGAACAAAATGAAGACTAAAATAATAAAAATATTTGAATTATAAAGAGATTAATTATGATAATTATTTAAATTTTTACTTAAATTAAATCTACAAAATCGAACCGACTGGCAAGGAGAACATTTCAAATGAGAGTCTATCGAGTTAATCTCAGTTCTCAAGTGTCCATTGTGTTTTGGAACCGAGGATCTGTGCATCTTGTAGCTCTTAGTGAAATAAGTCATAGACATGAGTTCTTTTTATGGTCGATATAGTTTACTAAGATCTAAACAATGCACTAAGTCATGGTTCAAAAGAGAATGAACACTTGAGACTATTTCCTCTTAAAAGAGCCTCCTTGAGAAAACTCAATTTTTCGAAAAAATATCGAAATTAAGTTTTTGTCATAGGAAGATCGATTGAAGCTTCTTTTTGCAAAACGACCCGAGTTTCACAGACTTATCACAAGAAACTTCGACTCGACTATTGTGTTTGCGAAGAAATTTTCATAGTTTTTCTGTTTTGGAAAAACTTCGTTGTCACTTGCATTAGAATTGAATAGAACATTTTTATATTAGCCAGTATGACAGATGGCGTTAGCTATCTCTATTTGTTACATGCTTGGAAAAAGTCTACTGAAATGTATTAAAAATATGCAATTGTCATATGACCTTTTTTCTGGATTTAAATGAAAAAATACATCTCGAAAACTTATTTAGCGTTTTTTTTAAAACATGATTTTCAAGCAGGAAACTTTTGTTCGATCAGATTTTTTAATATTGAATTCCTGACCTGAGAAAAATGGAATTTTGGTGTCATAATGATCAACTTTCTTTTACGCTTATTTGTACACCATGTCTATTTTAAATGTTCATAAAAAAAAAAGAATGGAATAAGGAAATTTCAAAATTCTGTTCGGATAAAACTTGCGCACAGAGATTAACTGTAATTTGAAACCATCCGTCGTTCTGTACCTCTTATAGTAACAAAATTATAACGATTCTCCTGAAAGCCATATAAACAAGCTGAAATTTTTACCATAAGCGTTTCTCACTAGGACCACTCATTTCTGCCCAAACGGTCCGTTCTAAATGATAAATCATTTCTGAGGAGAGCTTCCTTGTATCATTATATCAAAAGTTGAAATATAATCGTTTTATATTAATTCAATATTTTATCCAGTGTAAAGATAAAGTTACAATTGTTCTAACTAACAGAAAGTATAAATCATATGGTATCGATTAATTGTATTCTTCTACTAACACATCGTTCAGGTAACCTTGAAAGTTCCGAACTTAGACAGATACGGATCTGGGACCAATCCAGATAGTATCAATATATATGTCTTATCTATATTTGACAAAAATTTTTGAGATTGTACGAAAGTTCTACTATAAAACATATTTATCTAAATCTTAAACTATTGATAAAACAAAAATAACTAATTATCTGAATATAAGAATAATAGAAAATTTACCGTTGTAAAACATTGAGTATTTCAATACATATAGATATTGTCATCTGATTTATAGCTATATCTGATTGTAATAAATTAATTAATGAAGATAAAATTGATTCAATATTATCTTCTGTTTGTTCTGATATAGATATTGATAGTGCTTCAATACAACAACCTAATAACATTGAAAAAATATCATCTTTTTTTTCTGGAAATGTTCGTATTTTATTTGATAATGTTGATGTTATAAATTTTGTCATTAATATATCACGTTGTCTATATCCAATAAATTTTTGATTAGCAGCTAATGTTTCAAGTTCATAATGATGTTCACTAAGCCATTGTGTTGTTGCTTGCATAATTGATGACCAATTAGCTTTATATATTGTACGTGTTAAATCAAGATTTGATTCAGCTGAATAAAAATTTCCACCATTAGAATTTTCATCAATATTATTACCACTACTACCAGCACCAACACCACCACCACCGGCACCACCACCAAATTCATTTGGTAATATTAAAAAAGCATAATCAGTTAATGCTGCAAGCCAATGATGTATAAGAACATTTAATTCAGGTTGTACAAGTATTAATAAATTACTATTTCGATTATTTTTTTCTTCATTTTGTCGTATTGTTGCAACATTATAAACATCAGCCCATGCACGTAAAACAGCTAAATTTTCAATTGTTAATGCATTTTCACTATATATCATTGTTATATCATTTTTATGTTGTTGTATTGAAGTAAATTTTTGTAATGATGATACAAGTAATTGATGTACACGACGTAAATCATTTAAATCATGTGCAACACCACTTGATATCCATGTACTACATACATCACATGCTTGTGCTGTTACATGTGATGATGTATCTTGTGAAAAAGCTGGTCGTAATGCTGCACCAACTTGTGCTTGATATTGTTCAAGGATAACATGATCTGGTAAATCAATATCTTCTTGTATATGTGAAAATTTTAATATAATTTGTTTAAGTAATGATAAACCAGATAAACGTAATTGATCACTTGTTGATGTACATGACATAAATGAAAATGTAATTAATGTATTTAAATGTATAACAAGATAATCTTCATTTGGATATGTACGTAAACGTTCTTTAGCTGATATATAATCAAAATGTAAATTTGATAATGATGTTTGTTCACAATAATTTATTAATTTTTGTACACAATCAGCTGCAAAAACTTTTGTTGGCCATTTAGCTGATGATGTTGCACGACGTATTGTATTTTGATTATTAGTTGTATGTAATTGTTCATCACCACCTGTATCAGCATAATCATTATCATCATCATGAAGACCAAAACTATCTTCATCATCATCACTTGTAAGACGTGATGAAGTTTTTGTTGAAGCAGAATTTTGTTGTTGTTGTTGTTGTTGTTGATCGGTTTCAGAAGATGGTCCCATACCAGATGTTTCTAGATAGAATTTCAATGGAATAAAATATATAGGATAGTTTAAAAGTAAGAAAACACCGAATTCTTTTCAACTTTGTCTCAATAGATCAATAGTTAGATCTTGTATTTGGTCCATCATATACTATATGATAATACTCAGAAAAGCAGCCTATGCTCATAACGTTTTATTGAAAAACATTCGAACATTTCTCGTACACTCCTATATTTTTCAATAAAATCTTAAGAACAAAGGTTGATACTAGGCTGCTTTTTTTAAGCATTATCATATAGAATATGTAGACCAAGTATAAGATCTAACTATCGATTTATTAAGAAAAAGTTGAAAAGAATTCCGTATTTCCTTACTTTTGGACCATCCTGTATAGCGTGATCAATATCTTCAATATGCTTTAATTAATCAGGTTGATTTTTTGTTGTCTGTGATAGAGGACTTGTTAAAGTTTTTATTCTTAAGAAAATTATCAAATAGATACCGTGTAGAATTAGCATTATAGATCTCGATAAGGAAGGAAAGTTGTTACCGCAATGTCTATGAAATCAAAATGTGAAACACGATGAAGCTGTTGATATTGTAAAAGAAGACATCAATCAATATATGTTTCAGTTTATAGATTTCTATCTATTGTTAATGTATGTCAATGACGAAAGATATTAATCACAATATATTGCAGTGAGTATAAAAGAAAAGTAAATGTCTATCAGGAGTGTGTGGCGGAGGGCTCCAAATTTCTACCGCTATTTTTCAACATTTCTTGTAGATTATGTTTCATAAAACAATCTATTAGTCATAAGTATTTCTTTCTGTGATTTCAACCAATACATATGAGAAGTTTAGTGAATCTACTATCTTAGAAATGTTGATCAGTGAGACCAATCAGTCTTAGTTCGCTTGAGTTGACAAGGAATTATGATCTATGACAACATTTTTTCAGCGTGAGTCCTATAACTTAAGAAGAGAAGAAAAGCTTATGACTCGATGAATCAAATGATTATGTAGACTTTTAATGCGGATATTTACGCTATACATTTTATCGAGTTTGATCTAAGCATTCAAAAACTGCAGAAATTTTACATAATTTCATATCTTCAGAATGCCATTTTCCCACATATAACACACATTTTTCTAGGAGAGAGAGAGAGAGAGAGGATAAAGAAGAGCAATGGAAGGTGATATCAACGATTGAACATCTGAAAATATTTCATATTTTTTTCTAATTATTAATTAATAATATCAAAAATTATTTATTCTATTAAATAAATAATTACCTGTTGTAGCAGCAAGAACATCTTTACATAATTGTAACCAATGTGTTAAATTATTAGCACCCAATGCTTGAAGCATATAAACAAGTGTATCTTGTACATTAGAACATAATTTTGTATCTGTTTCTGTATCAAGCATAGAAAAAAGTAATTCTAAAAAAAAAGAAAAATTTTAGATAAATATTAAATCAAATAAATATTTCTTTTTTTTTGTATTTTTAACCTTCAAGACTTCGAAATTCTGAAAGTCCAAGTGTTAAATCTTGTACTTTATCTTTCATAAATAATTTTGCATGTTCACTAACTTCTTTAGCTTCACGTTGTGATAATTGTCTTAAACATGAAACACATGCACGTCGTAATGATAAATCACGACATTTTAATGCTTTTATTAATTCTGGTACTAAATTTGATAAATTAACATGACGTGGTGCAAATAAATGTAATTGTTGTAATGCTTGTATAGCTTCAGCTTGAACAATTGGTTCAATATGCATTTGTAAAAGACTACATGCTGTTAAACAAGATGAACGTAATATTGATATATAATTTGTATTTGTTTGAAGTTCAGGACCAATTGTTATAATTAATGCACTAAGTAAACGACCACAACATTGATATACATCAGATTGTGATGGTGATATTGAAAGAAGAAGATTTAATATAAGTGCTAAACTTGGTTCAACATATGAACGAAACATTTGTCCACCACAATCAGCAATTAATGCTAATGCATGTAATGCCCATACTTGAACAATTGATGCTGATTGATCTTGTGCAAGTGCAAGAAGTATTGATATAGATAAATTTAAATATTGTCCTGTACTCATACCACCAACATAACGATGTAAACAACCAAGTGCTAATGAATAACCTGTACGTGATGGTACATCACGAAATTCTTTAAGACGATCAAAACATATTTGTGCTATATCAGCAACAAAACGTCCATCACCAACAACTTGTGTTAAACGACCAAGTGCTTCACCAGCTGCACAACGTAATATTGGATTTTGATGACTTAATGTTTGCATAACAAGTGTACATGCACATTTTTTAACATTTTCATCATCTATAGTTGATGATGGTTTTGTTTCAGCTAAAATTTTTAATGCTGTTAAAACAGCTGTAAATATATTTATTTGTACAGCTTCTTGTCGTGCACCTTTTGATTGTTTAATTATATCAATAAAATGTTGTAACATATTTAAACGATGTTTATTTGGTACACGTATAAACATTGTACCATAAAGAAGTATTGATGCATCAATAACAGCAACACCTAATGGTAATGGTCCAGGAATATTTAATTCAGCTGGACGAGAATAATATGCATTACTTGAATTATTATCTGTTGTTGATGATGATGAACGAACAAGATAATTTATAATATTAAAAGATGTTAATGATTTATCACGACGATAAAGATATGTTTCATCATGTTCAAGTGCACCTGAACCACTAGCAGAATTTGGTTGAAGTTGTTCTTCAATCATTTGATAATCAGTTTCTTGAAGCCAATTACCTAAGAGATTAATGAAAAATAACGGCATCAGTTAGTGAACTACAATTCTCAGCAATCGAAAGAATAGAATTTCGGACGTCTTTTTCTGGATAAGTTTTGTAAAGATGATAGGTTTTATAATAGCTGTATCTAATATCATGTGAGACAAAAAGATATCCGGAAGTCTTCTCTTCCGATTACTGAAAACCGTGTAGGTCACTAGCTGTTGCCATTACCGAGCTATTGAGCTTACATTCACCTGTCTTTGTTCCTGGCGTGAACATTAGTATTTATTTTTATATCCTAGTGGCAGCGACGAAGATATCTTACATGAATTTCAGTTCGGTCCGAAATTCAGATCACTTTTTGAATCAGACCGAGATTCTTTTAGTACTTTCGGCCCGTGACCTTATTGGTCTCTAATATAGAAAACCTAATTTTTTTTTTAACTGATTACGAGATATCATAGTGCTGAGCAGGACGACATAGTGTATTCACCTTCAGAACCTCCGCGTCAGCACCTACACCCTGATGTTTGATTGGCACTGTTGATATAGAAGAGATTCATGCTCAGCACTACGTCATTCTGCTCGGTGCTATGTTGTTCTGCTCAGCACTACGATATCACGTAATCAATTAAGTAAATTGACTTTTTGTTTTTATTTTAGAGATCAATGAGGTCACAGGCCAAAATTCTGATCTTCCATTTTTATCTATCATGAGATTCTTTTAAACAACTATTTCATTATTGATAAAAAAAAATTCATCAAGATAAAATCAATTTCGGACTCAAATTTCATATGATATTAAGTTTTGTTCTCCTAACAACATAATTGTTTTCAAATTTTCCTTACTATCAATTATTATACTTCAAAAATCTAGACTAAATCAAAAGAAAAAAACTTTGAACAATTAAAAATTCTTTAATTTTTACCAAGTAAAACACTATCATTATCATGACAAACAGATCGAAGTAAAGACGTTGTTGTATTTGCTGCATTATCAGTTAATGTAAATTCTGCAACTAATTCTCTTAATAAAATTTTAAAATGTTGTTCATAAAATTTAATTGGTATAAGTAAAAGAAGTTCATATAAACGTAAACGAAACATAGCTGTTGATGCTTTTAATTGTGGACCAAATTGTTTTATTAAATTTGGTATATGAAGTAAAACAAGTATAGCATTTTCAATTGGATTTAACATACGTTTAAGTAAATCATCAGTTATTAAATGATCATCACCTGTTGAACAATTATTTAAAAATGATATCATTGAACAAAGTGCACCTGAACGTTGATTAAATGAAAGTGTCCATGTAAATGAATCACCACGTTGTTTTTCTTGTTCAAAATCAGCTTGTGAACGTGGAAATACATTACGCCATAGAAGTACTAAACGTGGAACAAATTTTTTAATAACTTGTTGTCCAAGTGTACAACATGCAGCAAGTAAATGCCATGCTGTATGTGTACGTTGTAATATAACACGTGGTATTAAAGATTGTTGTTGACCAGCTATTGAAGTTGTTGCTGTACGAAGAAGATCATCAGCAAAATCAAATATTGTTTTAGCACGTTGTGATGGTATACCTATGAAATAAAATCAATATCTTAGTTATCAAAAGTTAGCTTTAAATAGAAGAATGAGTTTAATGTTCAGAAGGCGTTTGATTGATCTTAACGAGAAAGTATAATCTCAATAAATGAATAATGGTAACAGCTAGCGACCTACGATTTTTAGCAATTGAAAAAGGCGAACTCTGGATGTTTTGTTTTTGTCAGATATTATGTAAGATAAAATTATTTTAAAATCCATCACCTTTCGAAAACATTTCATAGTGTTCAGTTTCAAAGACATTAGATTATTTGTTATCGACTATAAAATGAGCTTTAAATAATATTATTTTGAAGGCTTTCATGTTGAAATATTGATATATATTCATTGTATGAATCAAAATAACTGTATTTTCTTTTAAAAGCAAAAATTTATTAATCCAGAACTGAAAAAATATCAACCTTATGAATACCTAAGGAGACTTTTTTATACTCATATTCGGAATCGATATGGTTGATAATTCATTAGATTTCATTCAAAAAAGAAGAAGAAGAAGCGATTGATCCATTGAAATGGTTCTCTTGTAAACGAGTTATAGTATGTGACAGCAAAGCTTAAGAAAAAAAAAGAATTTATTGATAATTTGAAATTGAGATGATAGCCCGAGGGGTGTTCTTCCGCAAAACAATATAATTTTTTTTTGCCAAAAAATTTTCAATGATTTCCATCACCTTCTGCTTGAAAAATATGTTATATTTTCGCTATTTATACTTTTATGATCATATATCACACAATTCTCGAAGGAACTTCATAGTAGTTAATTGCTTTTTTTTGTTTGAAAGAACATGTGAAGTTAGAGAGTGCCTCTTTTTTATTATTATTATTACATAAAAAAGCACTTCTATTAATAGATGACTATTTTTTTCGACATATTGAACTTGTCATTCGTTTCCTGCGCATAGAAAACAAGAATTTCAAAAGAAAGAGTACTGACATACTATTTTAAATAAAAATTTATACAAACATATTCTGAAAATTTTATGTAATTAGAATATGTTAGATCTAAGATCAATTTTTTTATACTTCAACTAACCTAATGGACATCGATAAACAGCTCCAAGTAATGCTTGTAAAGCAAGTGCAAATCCAGACATAGCATCTGTATTATAAGACGTTGTTTGTTTTGCTAAAGTTTTCATTTTATCTAGACATCTATCAATCAATGGTGTCATCAATGATGGTAATGCTGTTGTTATAGAACGAAGACACCATGCTGCTGATAATCTTACACTATGTGATGGATTAAGTATAACTAAAAAAAGTGTATCTATTAAACCATTACAACTATCTTGTAATAATAATGATGTTGATGTTCCAAAACTTTGTACAAGTAAACTAAGTTCATGTAAAGCACAAATAAGTATATGTTGTGTATATTCAATATTTGTTGATAATTCAAATGTATTTGTTGATGATGAACCATATGATTGTATCATTGAATTTGTACTTGAATTAAGTGATGATGAACCAGTTGATATATGTAAATCATTTGTTGATGTTGTTGATGAATTAATATTATTTGTTATTAATTGTGGTGTTGTATAACGTGTTATTATTGTTGCATATTCTTTTGCAGCAGCAAATTGTGCTTTTTCACCAAGACGTGAACCAATAACTGAACGAAGTATAAATGTAATACATTTACGTGAATAAACAGCATCAACATGTGATGTTGATGAACGAGGATTTCCAGCTAATTCAAGTATATGATTTATAAATAAAGATAAATTTTGTTCAATCCATGATGTACCAAGTACAAGAGCTAATTCGACATATGTCTAAATGAACAAAAAAAAACAAAAAAACTAATTTTTTGTAAATTAAAAAAAAAAAAGTTTTTCTTACATGAGTAACACCAATACGTATTTCACGTTGAACTGTTGTTGGTCCTTTAATACGTTCAGTTGTATTTGATTTTAAAAATCCAATATTACCACGTAAAAATCCACCAGCAAGATAATTCAATAAATCTTCTGCTTTAATTTTTTTAATATTTGTTACATTAACATTCGATTTATTCATTGTATCTAATAATAATAATAATAATTTTTTTTCTTCTTTTTACTTATACTTACTTTGATTTGGATTTAAAATTGTTTCTTGTGTTGCTGCTAATAATGCTGCTAAATATTTTGCTATTGAACAACGAACTTCATAATTTGAACCATCAAGTGCACGAAAAGCTAATGTTACATTTCCTTCTAATTCATTTGTATACATAAAATTATTTTGATTAATTAATGCAATAAGACACTAAACATTAAAAAAAAAACAAATTGTCAGGAAATTCAAACAATGAACAACAAAAGTTTTTTTGTTTTTTATTAATACCATTGAAGCAGCTGAACGAACAGGCATTGCTCGATCACATATATAAGTTTTTGCAACTTTAAATATTTCTCGATGAACATTATTACCAGCTGAACCAAGTCCATTAATAATACGTTCAAATGTAAACATAATTTCAAAACGCATTTGAGAATCACCATTTTTTAATGTTTTAAGTAATAATTGTACAGTTTCTTCATATGAACGACCAACTAATCGACCAAGACGTTCATAAAGTGCACCAATAACCACAACAGTAGCTCTATTTTTTAATAAATATTTCAAATGAAATTTACGTTTTTCAAAACAAAAAAAAAAACAAACAAAATATTTACAATTTAGCAGTTTCATCTTTTGATTTTAATATATCATTACAACGATTAACTGTATTAAATAATGGAAATGGATCTCCAACACTAAATAATGTTGCTAAATTTCGACCAATTAATGTTCGTATTGGTGGTCCAGGTCCATATTGAACTTGTTGCATAAGTTGTTCAACAATACGTGGTTGACATTCACGAATATCATTCTTCAAAAGTAGTGGAAAAAAAAATTTTTTTTGTTTTTTTGTTTAATATCAAAAATCAATATTAAAATTTACTTTTTGAGCAGCAACAAGTACTTTATTTAAAAAACAAAGCCATTCATAAATAAATACAGGTCGTTTATTTTCTGGTAAACTATTAAGTGCTTCTTCATTTAATATTAAACTTTGAGCAAGTTCAAGCATTGATCTAAAATTAGTCTTAACATATTTATTTACAATAAAGATTAGAAATGAGTTAAAATGTTAACATAATAAAAAATAAAGAGATTAACGATCAATATTTTTTTGTTTTTTGTTTATCGATATTTAGAAAAAGAAAAAAAATGCAGGAATTTATAGAGCAATGATTTTTTGTTTTTTTTAATATAAGAAATATAATGTGATCAATGAATGCTCATCTTCTAAATCGATATAGGCGAAAAAAAATAGTCTTGAGAAGCTTTTATTTCGCAAAGATTTTTCTTTCCTTCCTTCCGCATATTTTTCACGTATTATTCAGTTATAAGCTTTAGATTTTTTTTTTTTGTTCTACTAATAGGAAAAGTCAAAGAACCAATAGGAAATAAACGACAGAAGTCAAAATGAATGACGAAAACTAACGTCATCTTTTTGAGTTAATACGTTACATTTAATGGCGTAGCCAGAATTTTCACAGTGAAGGAAATCTAATTGGTAGAAGAGCTTGTAGCAGAATTTAGCTCGAATGATTTCGATCGGTGAAGGAGGGCTCAACTCCTCTCGCTTGGTTACGCCACAAGTTACAGTTGTTTTTCTAAAATTAAAAGTAATCCTTGAAATAATCTATATCAATGTTTTTGATTCGTTGATAGTTCGAGCGTTCTCTTATATATATGTATCAGACGCAGGGGTATACAAAACTAGTCTTTTTTTCTCTCAGTTAGCAATTTCTTTGACTGACTCCAGTTTCGTAAATTAAAAAGATATTTTAGAATCCATAGTTCTTGAATGTATCGAAATTCAGGATCTGCAGAACTAGAACTGCTATTTATCAAGCTACCCAGGTAAAAAAATCTGACACTAAGTCTTGTATGATCATATGAAATCGTACAAGACCATACATGATCAGATGCAGAATTTTGTCCGATTGTTGACCCTAGACACAGCTCGCGATATCCGTCTGATATTTTACGCTCCAGTTCTTCTTCGAGAGTGGAACTGCCCATCTCTGATTTCTATGGATATTGCAAATTTAAAAAGCTGATTTGTGGGTCTTTTATGAAAATATATAGTCTAAATGTCGATAAAAAAAGTGACCGGAACAACTTTGTCGTTTCGTCACTGTCAGATAATATCAGAAAAAAAACAGGATTTCTGAGCTTATAATGAATCGAAATTTCATTCTATCTTCATAAAGGCATAAGTGTATCTTGGTCGATGACCAAGACTTACCTCTTTATCAACAAGAGGTCTTGTTGAATTTTACATGGATAGATACCTTAGGACCTCCTCTTTCTAATGAAAAAACTCGGAACTTGCTAGCTGCCATTATGCTCGAGTTATTCAACTCTCTACACAAAAAAGGTGTCATAGTGGACCTTTTAAGGTTCTAGATTTAGGTACCATTTTCAGAACCTTTTTTTATAGTTCTAGCCGAAAAATTCAGAGCTTAAAAAAGTTCTAGCCAGAAAATCTAGAACTTTAAACGGTTCAGCGTCTTCGGCTAGAACTAAAAAAGGTTCAATCGGCCAACTTTTTTTTTTTACAGAGTTGTCTCCCGTGTGCGAATGACTACTGAATTCATTCGCACAGTGAAAACAAGGCTATCGACATGCTAAAACATGTAAAAATGAGAGACTTCAGAATGTGATCTTGAACTGGTATGTTGAAATTTTTCTTAATGTCGATGCTTATATAAGTAAGTCAAGTGCTCTTGACGATAGGCCTAATTTCTATGAAGATTTTTCACACAGTTAATTTCACTCAACGATCTTGTTATCTCTAGAAAATGCTGAATAACTGGAACATCTTCAAAGTTTTCAGTGTAGACACCATATAAAAATCGGCCGATTCTGAGAGCTTGTTGTGAAAATATCACTCTTCGATATGAGCTTTAATTACTGATATTTCGTAGAATTGATTACAGCGCATCTCATTATAATAACAACATTGTGTATTTTTCCTCTTTCATCAAATTTGGTCTCGTGTGGAGTCAGTGCAAATATATGAAAGTAGAGCTTATAAGAAAGAAAAGAGAATGTGTCAAGCAATAATGTACGTACCGTTATCAATGTTATGACCTTCCATTCTGCTCTTACACACGTTGAGACACTGCAAAAAAGAGAATGAAGAGAAGAAAAAAACAATGTGCCTTCAGAGCATACAGGCATTGCGCGCATAACAGCATCAACGCATAAGAGTAAATCCATGAAAAAAAAAAAGACGGCTTTTGGAATTAGTGTTTTTTCCGGTTAGTTAAGCTAATAGATAGCAGAAAACAGCTTTGATCGAAAAATTTACTTGTTTTTTTGCTTAAAATGATGGAGATTAGGCTCGCTTTTTTTAGGTACATCTCGAGGTGTCATCGACGGAATTGCAGCTTTTTGAGTCCATATTTTGTTCATAAGTAGCGAACGAACAGACTAGCATCATGTCAAAAAGATTTCTTTTTGTTAGATCCTTTTCCTCTTTTATTATATCGAATGCAACTTCTTTTTAAACAAAAAAAGCTGCAAAATATGTATTTCTCGCTTTCTCTTCTTTCATCCTTCATCTCCTCTTGACATGCAGAATAAAGTACTATAGAAAGATAAGGAACAATGCGAATAACATGATACGATGATACTATAGAAGAATAGAGAGAATCTACGTATGTCAGGAGATATCTCTTCTGACATAACACTTCTTTCATCGAGATTTGACCGGAATATTAATATTTTTTATCATACGATACTTTCAAAAAATTGTAATGAAACTAGCTTTTTTTTTCTTAATATTGCAAAAAGATCTTCAAACTAAAAACTGCATATCTCGACAAAATCTCAATCGAAAAAAGAATCTGTTGGAGGTTGTGCTAATCTACTGACTCGCTACTTATGGACAAAACATGGACTCACATGTCTGTAATTCGATAGATGAACCTCTCGAGATGTACCTAAAAGATGAACCGAATCTCCATTATTTTAAGCAAAAAAAATGAGCAAGTTTTTCGATCAGAACTGTTTTCTGTTATCTATTGGTCAAACCACTGTAGTAAAAAAAATCGACAAAAAAACTCTTCTTCCAGAAGAATGATATAAATCTGATGAATTTACTCATATCTAAACTCCGATGTAGAATCTAAGGTAATCAAGGACAGAGAAAATCTCTTTGATTACGACTTTATTTCAGTTACGCTACGAATCGTAGATGTATTGATGAGAAAGACGTATGAGTAAAAGAACAGTCACAACGGTCATAAGAACTACGAGAAGACAAATAGAGAGAAGATCATGAGATCGATCAAGCTAGTCTTGAAGTGGCACGTAGGACATAAATAACTCGCCAAAACTACGATCGATAGTTAAAGCAAAACTTTAAGATCCGTAATCTCAACAAAGTATCATGTTCTTCCTTTTAGATATTTGAGAAGACTTTAAGTAATTTCACTTTCATATCTTTTGTAATAATGCAAAGTTTTCGTCGTTCGACCTATTTGATTTCAACATGGAAGCACTACTTTCAGTCGAACAGATCCTCAACTGACTCCCAATCATCTAATACCGATGAAAATAATATGAAGTTATTTCAAAATACCATTGAGCAATCAGATCATTCTATATACTCAATCGAATCAATGACAAGTAAGAATGAAGCTTAACTTCTATTACCGCCTTTCAGTGAGGCTTTTCTATTTCAAGACCAAACTGAAAGATACAGCAAAAGTATTATGGATCATGCCCGTACGCAAGGCGCCCATATCATTGGCGCCTTAATCAATCGACACCCTCGTCGTGTTGATACACACCATCATATCATTCCCGAGTTTTATGCTCAAGCTGTAGAGGCAACTGGTGGAGATCCAGCAGGCTGGCCGATTCCAAAATGGTCTCCACAGTTAGCCAAAGATAATATGTCCCTTTTAGGTGTCGAAATGGCGATTACTTCCGTTACAGCACCTGGTACTAAGATTTATGAAGGAAATATTGAAAAAGGTAGAGATTTCGCTAGAAAACTCAATGAATATTCGGCCAATTTGGTAAAGAACAATCCTGAACAGTTTGGATTCTTTGCTACACTTCCTTCGTTGACCGATGTTGATGGTGCTATTGCCGAAATTGATTATGTTCATTCAGTTCTCAAACCTGATGGATTTATATTATTTACTAGCTATGGACACGGTAAATATCTTGGTCATTCATCTTTCCGACCTATTTGGGCCAAATTAAATGATCTTAATGCCATTGTTTTTATTCATCCAAGTGAAGCACCTACACCAATTGTCAATCGTCATATGCCACATCCCATCGTCGATTATCCTCATGAGACTACTCGAACAGCTGCAGACATTGTTCTCAGTGGTACACGTGATGCATTTCCCAATGTCAGCATTATCTTATCTCATGCCGGTGGTACGCTTCCATTTCTAGCTCAACGCATAGCAGGTGCAGGATTTATTAAATCTTTGGGCTGTTCACGAGGACCTCTACAAATTTTGTCCGATTTGCGCTCTTTCTATTTTGACACAGCTCTGGCATCAAGCGTTATTCAACTGAAGGCACTGTTAGAATTTGCTGATCATTCCAAAATCTTATTTGGAAGTGACGTTCCTTATGCCACATTTCCATTGTCTCTTTATATGACGAAATGCCTCGATACCTTTTTTTACCAGAATTATAATACTAAGAAGTATAAAGATTTGTGGCTTAATATCAATCGAAACAATGCTAAAACATTATTTCCTCAGAAGATCAAAAATTAATTGAATAATGGAGACGATTCATTATATGTGATAAACAAAAGTTTTTTTTAAAATTCCATACAAGAGAATGAACTTGACTACGTTTTATTTCTGACGCAGAACAACTGAATCTATGACACGAATAGAAAATAGACTAGATGAGATAAAACGAAACACAGACACTTGTGATTTATGAATTGGCAGAAGCGTTCGAGTCTCTGCCGTGGATTATACGAGCCTTCGAACTCCGTCACAATGCTTGTTTTTGAAAAGGATAAAAGATCAT